CAGATACATTAAGATTATATATATATATATATATATATATATATATATATATATATATATATATATATATATATAAGTATAAGATAAACCAAAAAAATATATAAAAATAATGATATAAATAAAATAAACAAAGATATAAATAGAATAAACAAAAATATAAATAGAATAAACAAAGATATAAATAAAATAAACAAAGATAAAAACAAAACAAGTAAACAAAGATGGAAACAAAAATATAAATGAGACACACAGACCCTTCTCTCCTCTTGCAAGAACATCAGACCGTTGACGACAGAATCAAGGAGGCCTTCGACATTTGTTATGTCTGATTTCATCCATTGATTAATTAATTAATTTACAATATTTTTAGTTACGAGTAGTTACAAATGTACAAATGCATTTTTAAAAGAATAAAAATATATAATCAAACCAGAGATCAAATAAATAATATATGATAATGCATGAAAAAAAAGTTAACAATATTAAACTACACAGTATAATAAACATAGACATAAAATATAAACACCATAGACATCGTAAACACAAAAAAAACATCAATAGACCTCCTTTTCTTGATGCAGGCTGTTCAAAATCCAGTTCGGGTATCTTCAACACACAGTATTCAGATTTGATAACTTGCCTGTTAAGATCCTGTAAAATATTTAGTAGCGGTACAAGTTCGGTGTCCCTCGCTATACAAAAATTAAAAACTGGTAAATTATTTAAAAGAAATTACCTAATGCATTAACCAATGGATAAACATCTGAATAATGATATTTTAAATTATTTAATAAAAATAGGGTGATAGTCTACCTTGACAGACGTGACCTTCAGATTGAACTTGACCCCTTTAACTTGAACTGTGCCCCCGGACTGAACTCCAGTGTCACTGTGATTACAGTGGTCACATGAGAATGAGGATATGATGACTTCTCGGAAGAACGGAATCCGAGTTAACATTAACCTCGTAGTTCCCTGATTAGTACAATGCAGTGAGTTAAGAACCAAACGTTAATATAACATTTGTTGTCATATGTTATAACAGTTTTTAAAATAACTTTAATTTTGTTCAACAATTATTATAATTATAAAAAAAAACAAAGACAATTCTGATTTATTGTTATAAAGCATATTATATTTTAAAATATAGTATATATTAGTAGAGTACATATATTAAAAATAACCAACTCAATTTTTCAAAAAACATGACTGTAATATTTTTAAAATTATAAAATAAAATAATACAAATTACTATTCAAAATTAAGATAATAAAATTTTCATTAACCATTAATTAAGTAATGTATATAAATTAATTTATTCATATTTTTTAATTGCTATTTTAATTTTCATAAAAATGATGTTGTTTTAATGGTTAATCAGTTAATATTAATAATAATATTAATAATATTAATTTAATTAATAATTAAATTTAAATAGCTAATGATGATGATTGAATATTGATTGTGATGGATGTGGTTGTGATTCACTTATTTTTTTAGATTTACTCATTATAAATTAATAATACATCAGATATATTATTATATATAAGTATATCTATAATAAACAAGTAAATCTAAAAAATGAAAATACAAAATGGCATTTTGAAAATGCCAATGCAGAATAATCAATGAATAAAAATATAAAATGAATGAATGGTGAATGATTCAATGAAGATCTTAAAAAAACAACCTGCTCATAGCAGTTGAGACACAAACTCTCTATCTCCGTGACATTGTTGTCGTCGTCGTCAGCCGCAAGATTTGGAAAAAAATCATTCACGTGTCCATTGGCCATCACGCAAATAACCTAACTAACAGAAACAAATGAAACGTTTGTTGACAAGCGATAATGTAGTACTTAAAGGTAAACTTCTTGAAAAAGAAATGGGCAATAGAGAAATTATATATATATATATATATATATATATATATATATATATATATATATATATATATATATATATATATGTTGGTAATAGACCATAATTTTTACAATATTCTATAAATTCTACCGAATGTAGAATTTATGAATATTAACGCCAAACATTCGGTAGAATTTATAGAATATTGTAAATATATATATATATATATATATATATATATGAGATTTGCCATATCTATTATATATATCCATGGTTAGGATTCATATGACACCAAAACAAAAAAACTATGTTGAAATATTATGCAAATGTGCCAGTGTCTTAAAGTGCAACACATTATATAAGAAATGAGTGAACACATGTTTGGAGGATGGTTCATTTTTCATTAACCACAAATCTTTTATTGCTTCCGTATAAAATATTTTACTTCTCTCCTTATGTATCCTAAAAAAGATATGTAAGAAATATATATGAAAATTCTTTCTCCTTCGATCGTATCAAGTTGCGGCGATTGATCCTGTATATGTAAAGAGTATCTATCTTTGAAACTTAATACAAGTGTTATTATCACTATACAATACACATACGACACACACGTATATACAAATTAACATAACTAAATATTTTTTAGTAGGTCCAACATATAACATAACATCTTCGTAAATATTAAATTAATAAATAGCTTGTTTCAGTTCCGCATCGTCATTCATTTTGTGCTCGTTGTTCTGGCCGATGTTGTTTCAATTATTAAATTAGAAATTCTCTGCTTCGGGCTCTAGTGAGAATAACAATTTTTCATCTTACGCCACACACACACACACACATATACAGAAGTAGCAAAAATTGATGTTGTTGGAAAAACTAAGCAACTTTTTAAAATTGCTCTTGCAGTCAGCTAACTGTAAAACTAAAGATATTGAAAGTATTGAAAATAATAAGATTTTAATTTTTTTTCTCCTGCCTTCCAAATTTTTTTTTACATTTTAATCAAAAAATTTTGCAAAATATTTAGGGACAAAGTTCAAGATAAAAATATACGTAAATTTAAAATGTTGAAATGCAAAATAAAAAATTTATCATATAACAAAAATATATAATATAACTATATGCTGAAATGAAGAAGTAAAAAAATTATTTTTGTGAGCAAGGGAAGAATCGTTGATTGATGATTTTCTTCAATCTATCGTTAGGAAAAATTGCATCTGCTGAGATGAGATCAAGTCTAGAAATTGTGCTCATGTCGAAACTTTTCAACTGGGGAACGTTCGCTATCACAAAGTATTTATAGTTCTGCATAAATTAAATGAAAATTCACTTTCATTAAAGAAGAAAAAGTATAAACTGAGGAGCTATTAGGCATCACATTCACCTCCACACTTAATGAAGCACCTCACATCAATCACATCATCACAAAATGTTTACAAAAACTTCGCGCACTCAAAACACTTTGCTCACGTTATCTCAGAGGCATCAAATTATTCGACATCACTGAATCACTCATCATCTCACGCATCAAATATGCAGCTTCCTCCTGGTCTGGTTTAGCAACACAGCAACAACTTCAGCAACTAAAATCTTTCATCAAAAAACTAATCCGCTTCAACTATCTACCTGCATCATATCCTACCGTCACTCAGATATTCAACACACTCGATTCAAGACTGTTCAAAAAAGTAGAAAATAACAACAACCACGTCGTCCATCTTCTACTACAATCTACAATCTAAACTGCTACACACAACCTTCGTCAACGCAAGCGTAACTATCAAGTCGCCACTCAATCAACATATCAGGATAAGACCTTCATCACAAGACACTTCCAACATATTAGCACTCAATAAAACTTTATCGTTTAATCAATCTAGTTTTCTTCCCACTTATCAATCACCTCACTAACTCACCAAATCATTTTCTAATCCATTAGCAAATTAATTTATTAATTTGCTTTTTTATAAGCGTGTTCTAAAGTTTTTTATATCATTACTTTATTTTATTTTAAATACTTTTCATGTTTAAACATTTTTTCTCCGTTTTTTATTTATTTATTAATTTTTTTTTTCGTTACCATTTTATACAACTGCCTGGCATGCTGTAACAGAATAATAATAAAAAGTTATAAATATAAAAGCATTTGATAAACATCAGACCAAGTACCTTGGAACTTTCAATGGGGTTTCCGTGCAAAGTCAGCTTGATCAATTTTTTACATTTGAGGAGATTGAGGACATCTTGCCTGTCTTCAATCTTATTACCATGCAACAATAATATTTGCAGTTCCGTGAAATTTTCAAACGCCTGAAAAATTCAGATGAAAGTGTTATTAAATTTTGATAAAAACTCAAAAAAAGTAATAGAACGATAGAACAAACAAGTGAAGTTAATTTAACAAGGCTAACAATTTTAATCTGCATTTAGTAACGTAAAAGTAAACAAGACACTCACATCTTCAATTTTTGGAATTGAATTGCACGACAAATCAATCCAGACGAGAAGTTCCGGTTTAACAATCACTGCATTCAAGTGTTCCATGAACGACAATACACCTTCGAGAAGATTGTTATTCAGTTTCAGGATGGTTGCGGAATGTTTCACCTGGAATGCACTGCTCTTCACATTCCTCGGAATCTCATATGGCAGTTCTGAAAGTTATTAAAGAGTAAAAAATTATTTCGACATTTCTAACATGAATATAATTATAATAAAAATGAAAAAAAATCGAACGAAACAGTTAAACAGATAACAGAGCTAAGCTAACTAACAGCCTACTAACCGGTCAAAGATGTTAATTTGAGAAACGAATAATCGAGAATTTTTTTCTCCTCTATAACATTTACAACGGGCTTCTTCACACTCTCTTTCCTGGATTTCTTCAACATTTCATTTCTTCTTTATTATATTGACTGTTTATATAAAGTGAATCAACAATCAGCGGAACATTAAAACATTTTTGGTTGCCTTGGAAACGAAAGCATAGAAGACCATTTTGTACTATCAAAACCATGGTTTAAGGTTCTTTTGATTATGCTAGATATCGAGCTAATTTCGTATTTATTAGGTCGTGTTTTTTAATTCTGTATTTATTTAACTAATAAATAAATACAACTAAATTGAAGATAAATGATTGGCATACGAATATTGAGAAAACGTTCTGTCTTGACCGCCGTATTTCTATTTTCACTTGTCTATTTCATTGCAAACATAATAATAAGAATAGTAAGCTTTTTGATTTATATTTCATCTTATTTAATATTATTATTAAATAAATTAGATTTGTGATTAATTAGATTAATTAATTAAATTAAATTTAAATGATTAGATTAGACAATAGTTTCTGAACTTTCAATCATGTCACGTGTTTTGTTTTCATAAATTCTTAATTCAATTAAAATTTAATTTTATTTAATTAATTTTATTTTGAATTATAATTGTTAGTAATTAATTACATTAAAATGCCTGATATTTTGGTGTCTAATTTTAAAGTACTTAGTGGTTATAAGTACAATGAGTCAGTACAATACTTATTTTTATAATCAATTGATGGTTAATTAATTGCCAATTGATAAGTCTCCCTAAAAATTAAATTATCATTATTATGGATAATCTAATGTTCTAATCGATAATAATGTTAGTAAATATAAGTCAAAGTGTCATCATTCTTCATGCTTTAAATTGAAAAATTAAAATGCATGCATTAATAAACAACTGAAGTATAACTAAAAAACTGTAATTAAGGTAAGGTTAGGTTAAGAAGAATGTACAGTATCTATAATGAAGTTTGATATCAGTTATAATTTTAGTTAAACAACAGTGCTACGTGCATGTGTGGTGTGCACAACAATGCATGACAACTATAATTTTTATATTTTAGTTTAATGTCAATCTAATTAGCCAAAAGTACAGTAAACATTACATAGTAGAATTCATAATATCTTTTTATATAGCTTTGTAGAGCTCCTACAACCAGTAGTCAAAGGAAAATATTTATAGCATTTGTAAATAGTTTACTGTTTGTTTTATTTTTTCATAAAATTATGTAATTACATTTCTATTAAAAAACTGCATTTTGGTAGATTTTATATTTTATTATCCTTCTTTCAATTTTTAGTGTCATGTATATTTTTATGTCTGTCCCAAAGTTTTGAGTGCACATCACAAAGTTCATTTATTTATCATTAATGCAGCAATCATTGTGGTCAGTAGTAAGATAATAAGCAAATACACACAACATGGTAATCAAATAGATGCTGCATTTTAAATAAATTAAATGATTCACAATCCACCATAATAAAGTTAAACAGATCAGCTTACGTTGGCTTGAGAAAACCTTCCCCATCCTTAGAAGCCATTGATTGGAAAGTTGGACCAAAAGATGGAAATGAGACAGCAGAAGTCTGCAGAAATTCAGTTCAGGGTTGGACTTGGATCGTAGATGAGCAAGGTTCAGTTTAACATGCACACCTACATACTAGCAGCTAAACAGAATTAATATATACTTTTCAGGTTACGTATGCTCTCGTTCATCTGTTCTACCAAATGGTTGTTGTCCTCAATCCAGTGTCAGATTTTCATGTCAGAGTTGTCAGATGAATTGCTGTTGTGCTGTTTTTGAGTACTGTGTTTCGTGCTGCATGCAACCAGATAAGGTGATGTTCATTCCACACAGATGTCTCAATTTTTATTATATTAAAATGTTCAAATGAGAAGATTTAAATTTAATTGAAACTAAACTTCACATGATTGTTATTTATTTAAAGAAAATGAAGTTACGCAAAACATTCGTGAGACTCGCTCGAGCATTTCCATATCTCTTCTCTAGTGTCAACGATGTCTTTGAATTGTGTCTGTCCAAATGCAGAACATCATCTCACGTTTGTAATCTTTCAAATTAACATGTGCAATGCTAACACAATCTTGCCATCAATTTAATTTAATTGTTTAATACAAATATTGCAATCTATTAAACCAACATTTAGGAATTGTTAGAAAACGCAATAATTTCATTTTAATGACAAATTTGCGCAGAGTCTGCAACATGAGAATACCTACAGGGATCCACTCATGAAATTTTGCTACGGTAGTGACCTACCTGCCCTTCAAATCACGTGACCGGTTCACTCACAATGGCGATGTTGCAATGACTTTTTGGATCAAAAAAGTTGAGGTAGCATTTTAGATGGAACCAAAGCAGAAGTTCGAGCCAGCCTGCTCGTGCACACGTGTTTGTGACTTGTGATCTATATTCAACACTGTGTGATATCAGTTAACACTTTTAACCTGCATCCAAAAATATTTTTAAGAAACAAAGACACCAGGAGATGTTTACGCTGGCCTTATTTTGGGCATCACAACTATTTTTTTACCATGTATTACCGGAAGAAACAATTCTTGGAAAGTTGAAATACAAATTTAACTGAGAAAGCGTGTTCTAAAACTTTTTTAAACGATGTAATAAACTTAATAATAAAATTTGTACAAGCGGAATAAAAGTGAAATTAATGAAGAGTTTAGTAACAATCTAATAAAATCAATTGCAAAGTGCCAACTACCAACCTGAATGAACCATTAACAATACAGAAAAGCACTCAAGCCGTGAATTGATAGTTGATTTTTTGGTTGCGATTCCAGATCAACAGTTTTAACAACTTAACGCTAATCAGAAGATGCAAATATGCACTGCAGTCTTAAGGTTTGAAGCAAACAAATAAATACCAATATATCACTCATTCACACATTAATATAAACATTTTATTCGACATAGTCAAGAGATTCTGGAATTTCAAACTGTTTGTTTATCGTGGCTTCCTCACACATGAACTTCTTCTTCATCCAACTCTTGAAGGAGAATATGTTGTCTGAAATGTTCGTAAATGTTCTTTCATAATTTTCTACTAAGAATTTTGTTACATATTTTAGGATTAGCAAATGATGGGCTGATGCATAACTAAATCATTCTCAAATTATAAATTTATTCACCGAAGACTGGAATGATCAAAAAATAAGATGAGACAAATGAACGCATGACTTCTATGACTTTGTGATTACGTACGTGAAGTCTTTACTAGTATATGTTTAAGCAAGGTTAAATTTACACTCAAAACTTGGTGTGTTTCGGTGCTGCTCAATTCTATAAAAATTTCATCATAAATACTGTTGCAATACAATACAGAAAACTGTGGTGTCTTTGTAGCCAATATTATGTAGAAGCATTAATTAGTTTTGGTACTCAACCAAGACAGCAATGTTCATTCAGTAATGTTAAGCATGTGCCGTTCGCGATAACATGCATGTGATAATATAAAGGACAGTAGTGGTTAATCACATACGGATTTCATCATTGCATTAATAACATTGTATGGTTTTGGCAGTGAGTATGTATGTAGGTAGGTAGAGGGGATAAAGAGACTGATGATAACAACGGAGTTGAGAACACACGACAGTCACCTACCTGTCCACCTGTTAATTGCCTCCCTGGCTACAGTGGTTTCAACCTTCATTTGTTGCATGACTTCTGGGTCACACTCCTTGTACTTTTCCAACTCCTTCAACAGTTCTTCTTTCGTAGATTTCAACTCGTTAACCTCATGTAGAGCTTTATCTCTTTCATTCTTGAGTTTTGTATAAAAGTAAACAATATTTTGAATTGAACGAATTTTCAAGATTGACGTTAGTGAAAAAATAAATTAATTAATGTAGTGTGTGAAGTTTTAAAAAATAAACAATTAAAAAAAGTGAGACTTATATCTGAGAATGATATAGAAAACATGGAGAACATGAAATAAACGCTAGTACTTATCAGATGTGGGAATTGAAATTAAATATATAATGGCAAATAAAATATTCAGGAAAATAAGTTTAGATAAAATCTGAATTGAATGTGACTGACAGATTGTTCCCTGCCAGAAGCAGCTCCTTTGATGGATTCCTCCAATGTCATCTTTTTTTTCTTCATCTCTTCCAACTTCACACTCAGTTCATCCAACTTTCTTTTTCTCTAGAGATTCAAAAAACGCATATATACATACATTCACACATACTCATACACACACATAAATATATACATTATTTATATTGCCACATTACAGTTATCATTGTATGTATATATTACTTAATATAATATTTATGATATATTAATGCAGGTAAATAAAACAATGTAAGCATGTAAGGAAAACTTGAATAATTTTAGAAACTTACATTTTGACTGGCCTTGCTTGGGAATGCCCAGAAGTAAACCGACGTCCCAATCTTGTCTGTGTCCACCATGCCATCGTCCACCAAACTCTGAAGAACTTCCTTCACTGACATCGAGGTGATACCTCGTAACAAAATTTCAATGATAATTTAAATATGGGTAGTGATGAGGAGAATAAAAGATTCAATAATGTTCATCTTCATCATTAAACATTACTGAACCACTTTATAATATGATAGCACACTAAACATTAAACATCAAACTTAGATGAAAAAAATAAGACCAACAAAATAGCATAAACACCTTTTTCCTTTTGACACAATTTTTCCAATTCTTTCAGCTGGAAGAAATCTTTCTGTGAAATGATAATATAAGAAACTAACTAGAACTGCTAGTGATTCATTAAATTAATTAATTAAATCCTTCATTATTTGATTTAACATTTTTGTAAGTTAATTTAAAAATTTGAAGACATTATTTCTGTAATATGCAATGATAATAATTGAATAATTCTACTGTGCATAATAAAATACAAAATAATTTGCCTTTTCATAAAAAAATTCCATCATCTTGGTTCTCTTTTCCTCTGCACTTAAACCTTTTTTCTTTGACTTTGGAAATGATTGGATATTGTTGAGCAGTAATTAGATGAAAAAATGAATGGTACATTGAATTAATTAAATTAAATCTAAAAGTAATAACAATGAAAAGTTAGTAGTAAGTAGTATAAATATCAAAACTAAACTAAAGAAATAAGCATTTTTGTTTTGATAGCACTGAACATTAAATAATTACATGATTATTTAACATATTGGTTTATTTGAATTTTGAACACATGACTTCAGTGAATTCTTTTTTTTATAGTTTATCTTTATAAACACTATAAACTTTATAGTGCTTATACTTTTTTTAAGGGCCATATTGGAGCATCATAAAAAATAAATTCATATTCACATAATTTACTATGCTAGTTCTAACAACCTTCTCTAGTCTAAAAGGACCACATTAAAAAATAATGGATTAACCGCCATTTAAAATTAAAATATATGAAGCTGAAAAAGTGGAACTTTCAACACTCCAACCAACCATTGTTGAATCGCACTTTAAAATTGATCTTAATTTCCAAAGTAACTTTTTTAAAGCTCAATTTTCGCGCTAAAAATAAGCTATATAAATATATATATGCAGACGGCAAAGTGGTTTTTCCAGCAATATTTATTTATAGTCAACAGTTTAAAGAGACCCATAAGCTCCACCCACGGTGCAACTAATAAACTAAATACAGCTTGCATGTTCGTTGGTTAGCGACCGTATAATGTACACAACAGTCGGAATAGTAAAAAAAGAAAAACAGTTCCTTAAGTAATTTTTTTCAAATGTTATTGAATTGGAAAAAAAACAATAATGTAAAACGCTTGACAATGCAATCTACCCTTAACGATTTCGGATCAAAATCTAACCTGAATTGTAATGCTTGGTTCCGTTGAGAAATGTTATAGCTCAATTTCTATATCTACGTCAATGCTCAACCATTGAAGTAATCAAAAAAACATATAAACAGTCTTTCTTCATTTCAATCGCTCGTTCACTGATCATTCGTAGCATAAAGATAGCGTTTCTTGTGCCACAATCCTCTACAAAACCACATTGGACATTTGAAATTTCAGATCTGAATTTGCTTCGTGTTCTTATCATCAGAATTTTCATGAGAAGTTTTGTAAGATGACTCACCAAGCTGGTTGTTCGATGTAGTTTCCATTCCGTTGCATTAGAATTTTTAGGCAATGCAATAAATATTGACTTGGATAGATCTTCAGGAATTTTGCCGCTGTTATAAATCTCATTCAAAATTTCTGTCACTTTTTTAATGCCGAATTCATCAAGGCATTTAATTTGTTCAACAACTATCTCATCTGAACCTGGCGCCTTATTTGATTTCATTTTGGAAAGAGTGGCACGAACTTCAGATCTAAGTATCATTGGTCCTTCTACGTCTTTTTAATAGGAGACTTTTCACTACGGATATCATCAAAAAGATCGTTAATGCATTCAGTCCATCTTTCAAATACTTTTTCTTTCCCTAAGATTATTTCACCGAATTTAGCTTTTATGCATCCATACGTAAAACAATAATGCAAAATACGCAAAAATTACTCGAACAAAAAAAATTCATAGAAATTTATTTTATTACATTAAAATTTAAAAAAATGTATGCCATTTATTACATTTATTAGCATTTATTGCTGGGCTGACTCTTTCACTTTTTTTTGTGAATAAATGGAATTAATTAAAAAAAAACAAAATTAAACTTCTATAACTTCGTTTTTCAATTTCAATTTTAAGTTAAAGATTATAAAATAAGCCAAGCATGTTTGAATTAACTTATAGACATTAATAAAAAAACACATGATGATATGTAAAATAACTAGGGAAGCATTCATGCACAGATTAAGATACTCATCTTTATGTCATATTTATGTAAATAGTTCTATTATAATTCAAGAACATTATTTTGAAAGTTGTTAAAATTGCTTATTATTGAAAAGTTTTTTCAAAAAAAGATTAACGCAAAAAATGCCTAGCAGCCTAAAGTCTGCTGTTGATTTCGATCGAAACAATATAAATTGAATTATTATATTTCCAAAATTGTATTATTAATACATGGCCTCACGATGTTAGTTTTCCATCAATTTCAATACCAACGATAAAAACTTCATCACCGTCATCCTTATCACTATTTTCATCATCATTGCCTACTTCTTGTTTATCCTCATCATCTTCATTCATCATCGTTTTTATTTTTATTAATAAATAGACTTTATTTTTCATCAATACTCAATTTAATTTCAATTATTATTTTTCATTTTTAACTGTATTAGACGATAAGCTGACCACAGTTTAATTCATCGATTTAACACCATCTAAAACAGATTTGTATTTATTAAAGTAATACATATTTTTTACAGGTTTAATAATAGAAACATCCGATGAACACCGTTCGTTCAATAATATTTTATGGGTTTGTTTTTCAAACCATGAAAAGTTGCATCTAATGTTTTTTTTTAAATTGACTTCAAGTAGATAATCAGAAAATTGATAACTCTCAATTAAAATCCATACGAAAATATTTTCATCATGTTTCGATAGGTAGGAGGTGCTTTACACACGTAATGTTTGAACTTATACATCTTCACTGTGGTAGATTCAGGTGAACATATCCTAGGCGGTTCAGGTTCCACGACATATTTGAAGCCTTTATATAAAAAAACACCGCCCTGTAAATTGCCCATTTATTGGAAATTTAGTGATATTTTTGATTTTTTCAATTTTTACACTAATTTTTTATACGCAATTTTTCAGTGCTGTTATTTTTAAAATGCTATGTGCTTGAAAGATAGATTGAGAGAAAAATATGTATTTAAAGAGAGAAAAAGAAAGAAAGAGAAATATATATATATATACACATAGATATATGTATATATATATGTATATAAAGAGAGAGAGAGAGAAAGAGAAATATATTATTATTATTATTGGTGTGTTTGTAAGCACCCTTTAAAAAGATCTCAGAGGCGCTAACGATTATTGCATTATATAAATAATATTTGCACATATAATAATATATCAATAATATAATACATTTAGAAATAAAGAGAGAGAACGAAAAAAAACTATATATATATATATATATATATAGAGAGAGAGAGAGAGAGAGAGAGAGAGAGAGAATTATATATATATATATAAATATAGAAAGATATTAATATATACATATACTTGCATATACATCTATATATATATATTTATATATATATATAATTATACATATAAATTAATGGTAGTTGGATATATGTATATATATATATATATATATAAGAGGGAGAGAAAGAAAGAGAAGAGGTAACACATTTAAACCGTTATTGAATAACATAAAAATAGTTTCACCACAAGCGTTCGAGCGTTTTCATCCTTCCATATTTGAAAATGATTACCGGCAAACTTGCTGTCATAATGGCAAACCAGAGCCTCGTCTAAGAAATTTTCACTAGGTGACAAAGTTTTAAAAGTTTTGGAAATGATAATTATAGTATCAATTCTTTTCAAATCACGGGTGCCTCATAGATATTGCATCAACTTTCTAATGAAAATGAAGTTTTTTTCATGAAAGAATACAATTCTTCAATCTTGCGGTAAAAACATGCACTCTTTTGTCAATTTGAAATAAGTGACATTTTTTTTTTATTAACGACACAGTATCACAAAAAAAACAATTGATGTTAAATTAGCTGATCACAAGTTATTTTCAGTGTTAAAAAACTTTTTTACAAATTCCCTGTTTCGGTAAAGTTCATCATCTGGCATAATCATTATTTACCTACTATTACATGTTTTTAAATGTTGAAAGAATCAGTATTAGTCAAATGTCAGATGTGAGATGTTTCCATCATTTACATGAAGAGCACATTAAAGTGAAAAATTGTGTTTTTTTGAATGGTCAGCCAATTACTTGCCTACGTTAATAATAAACCTAATTTGCTTGTTCTCCATTGTTCTTGTTATAAAAACTCTATTTTTGAGTAGGCTCTCGAGACAGCTGTCTGCTCTCTTTTTCTCTCCTTTTCTAATATACTAATATTCCTTTTATTATTGGATAAATATTCAAAGTTTAATTTTGAAATGATTGAAATATTGAAAAAAAAATTGTTTTGAGATCTTAGAGTTCCTTGCCCAAACATTTTTACCATAGATTGCAGTTCACCCAGTGTGGATTACCAAGGACGATTGTTATTTTTCGTAAGTCATAGTCATGCTATCAAATTTACTAGAGAATAACGGAACAATTTTAAATTTGAACGTTTGAACTATTTGATGAATACAGACAGAGCGCAAGGCAGAGAATATAAAATTGACCAACATTTAAGTTGAAGTCTGCTTTCTAATAAATTAAAGTTTAATGACTTTTGAAAAAAATTGTATAAACTGAATAAATTTTGAATAAATAATATAGGTGAATATATTAACAGTTTAGAGTCAGAGTCGGTTTAACAAGTTTACTGAAAATTGTTTTAGAATGATTTTTAGAGAGTTTCATCCACTACATGCTCTCTATTGTGTTGAAAAATGGTCCCCTTTAAATTTGGCCATTGCATACAAACATTAAATAAACTCTTTTTATACCTAGGTACTTGGAACGTGTAATTAAAGTAACGCTCAATTAATTCTTCATATTCTACATTTAAAGAATTAAGAAATCTTCACTTCAATTATTAAGTGACAATTAAAATACTGAAAGTTAAAAAATACATCTCAATATTAAAATAATTAATTAGCAAGTAAAAAAGTGTTTAGAATGTAGTGTGGGGTCACACAAATTGCTTCTAGCGTTCGATTTGTTCGTTGACTGATAACACAATAGACTGGGAGTGCATATTTTGCACTTGCTTCATTTCGGTGTAAAGAACGCATTTTTAATTTCTTCAAACGAAGATTCTTGCTTTATGATAACAAAATAAGGGAATTTTTTCAAATGCGAGTTAACACATATTTTGTATTGTTTTCAAATATATAATTATAAAAAATTATTCAATACAATTTTTAGTAAAATTTCATCTCCGAATTTATTTTCCTAATTTATTTCAACATTTGATGTTTTCATTATTTTTTTTGCATTTGGAAATTCTCCAGCAACTTCGGATTCAAAACTTCTTTTCATCATTTTCTCAGATTTATCGAGACTCGCTTTAGCTGATCTACCCAAACCTAAATGAACATAAATGGATTATTCCCAAATATTGTTCAGTGTAACGAATTAACAAAAACTTTTAAAAATTATCAATGAAATATTAAGAAGTCACTGGACACCTCTGAAGCACGTGCTATTGCTATAAAATAGGTTATTATAACTAATTTCCTTATT